AAAAAAAAAAAAAAAAAGGGAAAACTTTCCTAACAAGTATCAAGGCTTACTATAAAGATGGGAGACGTGTGGAAATGGCCCAGACCAGTTGGCCAATGGAACAGAATAGAGAGCCCAGAAACAACATATATACAGAAACATGGGTAGGGTATTTCTTACCTACAGGAGCACACACCAAAATCACCTGGAAATCTTTAAAACCTAGGTCACCAGCCCCACCTGTAGGTATAGGATAAGGCTTCTCCAGGGATGGTGCCCTTAAACATCCATCACTAGGAACCACAGTGAAATACTTCATGGCACAGAAATACCAGTCAGTGAAAAGTTACCTCTAAAACCCAACCTCCATGGGACGCCTGGGTGGCTCAGTCAGTTGGGCATCTGCCTTCGGCTCAGGTCATGATCTTGGGGTCCTGAGATGGAGCCCCACGTTGGGCTCCCTGCTCAGCGGGAAGTCTGCTTCTCCCTCTGCCCCTACCCTCTGCTCATGCGCACGCGGGCTCTCTCTCTCTCTCTCTCTCTCCAAAACCTTAAAAAAATAATAAAACCCAACCTCCAACCTAAGGATAGACTCATATCTCTTCTGGGCAGCTGATGGAAGAATAACCTCACTCTTCAGGAAAGCCTTCACCTCATACCTGGAGAGGTCTAGGCTTACCGTCAAGGCGTCAACAGGAAAACTGTCTGCGAAGAGTCAAACTTCATACAAGACACACTTAACTACTTAGAGTTGAGAAAGCAAAGAAGCCCAACATCCGGGACCTGGTCTGGCACTTAGGGCAAGGCCTGGTGGTCTGAGAAGCTGGACTGGCCCTCCCAGCCAGGCCAGGGTGTCCTCCCCTGGTGCCCAATCTCACAAAACACCAACATCAGGCAAGGTTGCTCTGTGCCTGTGATGAAATGAGACAACACAAGACCACTTGATAGTTTTGTCTAGGGACAGAGACAAGACCACCTGCAAACCACTCAATCCCAACCCTGCCCTCTCCCAGCAATAGGAGTGAACGCAACCTCACCAGCAGCCGGGCTAGTCTAGCTCGGATCTGCCTCCTCCTAGAGAGGATTTCCAAAGACTTGTCCCTACTTCCAGACAGCACCCAACCCAGAGTGAAGCCCTGCTTTTCTGGACCCTCCCCAAGTCACCTAAGCAGCTCCTAACACCCTCTCACTGAGCTGCCTCTCCGTTCCCTAAGCTGTGCCCCCGGGAGTAGTCTCCCTGTTACAGCCTGTATTAAAGCCCACACAGAGTAAACAGAAAATGAGAAAGTTCAGCAAATCGGTGTCTGTTTCGGTCTACATTTCATTTCTGTTGTGCTTGTTTCGTAACTTGAACTTTCTGAAGAGTAGGTATTTGTTGTAAGGGCAAAACCACACCTAAGCTAATAATCGCCTTTTCTAATTATCAAAAACTGAAGTTATCCCCAAAGCAGATTAACAGTGAGCACATACGTAATTTTCCAAACTACTCAAGATTAGTAAACTCGCTTGTCTCATTCAGTCAAATTCATATACTCACTTTTTAAAATTGTCCTAGCTTCTACTGACTTCACCAGCTTTCCTGTTTCCAGTACTGAAACTTCTAAAGCCACTGCTGCTTAAGCTACCATCAATGTTGAGTGCTTTAGGAAGTTTAAGCATAGGAAAATTATCCAGAAAAAGTGGGAGATAAGGCTGAGCCTTGATATTTCTGAAATCCTAATGAAATCATAATACTAGAATTTACAGATTTACAATAGAGTCGCTGACTTCAGTTTTATGCTAATTCTACTTTTTTCCCAAAAAATAAGTACAGAAAGAAATAATACATTTTTTAAAAAGTACCGAAAGCAGGGCACCTGGTTGGCTCAGTTGGTTAAGCGTCTGTCTCGGCTCAGGTCCTCATCCTAGGGTCCTGGGATGGAGCCCCGCATCAGGCTCCCTGCTCCGTCGGCTTCTCTCTCGGCCCCCCCCAACCCCTCCCCCGCTTCTACAAGCGGGGAGAGGCTTGTGTGCTCTCTCTCTCTTAAATAAATAAATAAAATCTTTTTAAAAAAAATACTGCAAGTTAAATGTCTAAAAGTAATGACTTCACATCTTATGAGGTTTCACATCTAGACAAAAAAAATTATAAAATAACTTTGACATACATAGTGTAGTGTGATATATAATGGTTATATGGTTAAACATGAAAAGGACTACATATTTTAGAAAATAATTTGCTTCAGATAATTTTAGGCTTACTTGAAATATACTTTTTCTCTCATTCTTATATTGAGAAAGTTAAAAACCTACAGAAAAGTTATAAAAGTAGAACAATAAACAACAATATACTCCTCATTTAGATTCTCTGATGGTAATATTTTGCCATATTTGCTTTCTCTCTTTCTCTGCCAGGGTATTTATATGCATTTTTTTTCGGAGTCATTTGAAAATGCAGACATCATGACTCTCCACCATGCTCATTCCTAAGAATAAAGGACCATCTCCCACATTACTATTAACATAATCAGGAAAAGTTACATCAATACAACTAGCTCATATAACTGATATTAAAGTTCCCCCAAATGTCCCAATTCTATTCTTTAGAGTTGCTGGTTTTTATTTTGTTTTGTTTTGTTTTGGGGTTGTTTTTAATCCAGGTTTCAGTGAAAGATCCTACATTAAATGTAATTGTCATTCTCCAGCTCCTTTTATCTGATACCATTCCCAGGCTTTTTTTGTTTCTCACAACATCAACACTTTTGAAGAGTTTAGGTCAGTGGTTTTGCAGAATGTTCCTTAATTTGGATTTGTCTGAAAATTTCCTTAGGATGAGATTCAAGTCAGACATTTTTTTAGGTGGAGTTGTGCCCCCAATGCCTTGAGGGGGTGCATGGCATCAGTTTGTCCCATTATTGGTGATGTGAAGCTTGGTCATTTGGTTAAGGTGCTAACAGTCCCAAGATTTCTCTATTGTAAAGGTACGTTTTCCTCTTCGTGATACTCTGAGACTACGTAAAATGTCTTTACATATATTTACATGTTTTTATATGTGTAAACCTTTTACCAAATGGTTTTAGGATCCACCCATTTTAGTGACATTTCTAATTAGAGAAAACTTAGTAAATTTGGAGGGACTTGCTGCCAGTGATTTGCAGGGTATCAGGTGGGAGATTGTGATACTTACTGATGGTATCTTAATAAATATGTGAAAGGCAAATTGAATAGAACCTTCCTTCTCTTATTAAAGGACACTATATCCCTAATCACTAGTTGTACAGACCAAGAATTATCTCTGCATTTGAATTATTAGAAAGTTTTAATGAAAAACCCCATAACTTTTATTTTTTTTTTATTTTTATTTTTTGGCATGTTTGGAGGGTGGCGTATCTTTTTTTTTTTTTAGACTTCACTGTAAGATTTTATTACTATTTTATTTTTTTAGTTTCAGAGTTTAGTGATTCATCAGTTGCATATAACACCCAGTGCTCATTACTTCAAGTGCCCCCCTTAATGCCCATTACCCAGTTACCCCATCCGCCACCCACCTCCCCTCCAGCAACCCTCAGTTTTTTCCCTAGACTTGAGTCTGAAAAATCCCGTAACTTTTATTTATTTTATTTTATTTTTAAAGATTTTATTTATTTATTTGAGAGAGA